TTTGCCACAAAAGTAGCTCAGATAATGTATTCACCTAATTTCATTTAAGGTGATGCAGGACTGGTAAAAGGATTTAACATTGCCTTGCTTTACCAAAAGTTGTTCTCATCCAAGCTATGTGAAATTAAATGGAAACTTCAGCTCTACTCATACCATAGTGGGAAATTTCTACTACCAGTCCTTCATCACCTTAAACGAAATTGGGTGAATACATCTCATACTACTGATTTACTGGTAGTATCGAAACAATAAGTAAATGCGAAAGATAAAGTACATTATTCTTCGTATGTAAGTAGAGTTTCGAGACTACCAGTAAATCAGTAGTATGAGATGTATTCACCCAATATCGTTTAAAGGGATGAAGGACTGGTAGTAGAATTTTCCCACTATGATATGAGTAGAGCTGACATTTCCATTCAATTTTGCATAGCCTTGCTTTCCCAAAAGTTATTCCAACCTGGATGAGAACAATTTTTGGTAAAATTGAAACGTCAGCTCTACTCATATCATAGTGGGAAAATTCTACTACCAGTCCTTCATCACCTTAAACGAAATTGGGTGAATACATTATTCTGTTGCTTAAAGAAAATTCTTAAGTTTTTCACTTTATGACATATTTTTTCCTTTCTTGGTTAGTAAAAAGCTGATGCCTTCAAACCAAATGTCCAACTCCGGACGTGAAGAAGAGTAAAACTTCGCCAGGAGACTTTCTCCAATGCCTGGCTTTTTATTAGGAACCTCTCTCTGCTGACAGGAAGTCCCTTTTTCACAGATTTTTGCGACTCATTTTGAACAAATCAGAGCTGTATCCACATTAGGTCGCAAAAGTCCAAGAAGGGCTGATAGTTAAAACTTCTCAGAAAAATATGATTAGACCGTACAATGTCATTTGATATTAATTAGTCTTGACTTCCAAACTACTGTCACATTCATGGCGGATCACATTTTCGGCCAATAATGGACCTCATTAGTACCCAAACATAAATAGAATTCGACTAGTGCATAGTACAATTTCGAAATTACCGCTGCTCCAAACCGTCGTGGGTGTCAGTGGATCACAAGGAAAAATGGCATTTCAAGGCTAGTCAGGCTTATGCAATATCATATTTTTGTAGTGGTATTGCAAATGAAGCAAATTTATATTTATTGTTACAATCGACCACATTACTTAGGCTCAGTTTGTATAATCTATAAAACTGCCAGTATGTCTCAAATAAGAGCTGAACACAAGTAATGTAGGCGATTGTACGCGCAAACACATTTAGGCTTCATTGACAATCCTGGTACCAAAATGTGATGTACTACAGGCCTAGCAATCCTTGACATTTTCATCTTCCTTATGGCCTACTGACATGCTTGGCAGCGTGGCGTGGTGGTAACGTGTCGAAAATAAAAAAACGCAGCACTACACGGGTTCGAGTCCCGCTGCGGGTGTTGAAGAGACCCGGATTAATGCGGAGCTGTAGTCAAAATTGCATGAGAATACCTATTGGGAAGCAAGGTTTGGTAAAATTCGTTAGCATCATGAGGCCTACTCTTATCATTATAGGACATGTAACTATCAATCCTTTATTACTTTATGCAAGCTAGAGTGAATACAACTTGAATTCACGATCTACTGGTAGTTTCGTAAACTACCCTTTTATTTAGTTTAGAAAGATGACCATAGTTATTATTGCTAAGGCACCCCAGAAAGTTGGAATGGAATTGGCCAAAATCTCGCTTTATAAGGAGGCATGGTTTCTGTCCTTGTGCATCAACTGACAGGTCAATAATATCCTAAATTATATTGGCTTTTATTAATTTTAGTTATTCAATCATTGCAGTAACATCTTCCTTTTCTTTTTCCAATGGAAAAAGTTATTGGTGGACCGTAACAACAGACCTAATACTGTTTGCCAGTTTTACAGTTTACGTTTTCCTTTTACATAAAAGCGTTGGCCAAAAGTGTCAGGCCTCTATTTTGATCGTTGTCTGCTTCTGCTGTCTAGAATTGGTACGACCCCGAAGAGGGAACCTTGTGAGGCCACTTCTGTCATAAAAGTCAAGAATCTTTCCAAGGATAACTTACCAAGTCTATGGTCCAATGTTTGGAATCATCATGGATACTAGAGCAAGGTACATTATTCGAGGTCTCTTCGACATCACAACTAATGTGCGTTTAACTCCTAGTTTCCGTGTTAGCTTGCGGCATCAAGATTAGGAGGCATATTGCCCATCTTCGATTTTCAACCAAGCCAAGCTTCTCTCAGTGACGCTCTTTTGATGTCGGCAAAGTATCGAAGAGAGTACCCTATCAATTGCCTTTAGAAAACCATTTTACTTGTACTAAATGTTGCCTCTGAACAGGACTAGACAGTAAATCCTAATAGGATGGGAGAGAACAGCAAGTTTTCGTCCGCCAAGTTTAATACTCGATGCTTACTAGCCTCTTAGGCTGGACAATTGTTTTGTCCCTCATCTTTTATCCATTTGAA